GGTGTGTGTGAGGAGGAGTAGCAGCGAGCGACTCCTGTGTGAGGGGAGTCGCTGATCCGTCTGATCCTCCTCAATGAACACGTGTTGTTTAGGTTTATGTATTCAGTCATTATTCAAGGGTAAACTAACTTCTCACTGTTCTCAGGACAAATACTTATGTGCAATTAAAATGCGATTAATTAATCACAAGTAATCACACACAGGGGCGAGAGTAGCTCAGTTGGTAGAGCACTGGCCTTTAGGCCTGAAGGTCGTGGGTTTGAGCCCACCATAAGACCTACTTCACGACTCCCACTGATGACTGCTGTCGTTGTGTCCTTGGGCAAGTAAGTAAGTAAGTTTTTATTTATATACCGCCTTTTCACTGCAGATCTGAGTCTCAAAGCTGTTTACAATTGTTAATTATGGGCATTTGTCTCTCACTCCACACAGAGATGGGAGCGGGGCCAGTACAGGAGGCACATGCCAGAACTATTGGACATATTTTTAGTGGTAGGGGAAACCGGAGTACCCGGAGGAAACCTACGCAGACACGGGGAGAACATGCAAACTCCACTCAGAAAGGCCCTGGTCCGACCGGGATTCGAACCCAGGACCTTCTTGCTGAGAGGCGAGAGTGCTATCCACTCAGCCACCGTGCCGCCCAAGACACTTAACCCCACTTTGCCTGAAGCCCCCGCTGAAAGATTTCAGCTCCTGTGGACTCACCACCTGCAGGAGGATCAGTGAGGGGCTGGTGCTCTGTGACTGGGTGCAGCTCTGGCCACCCCCCCCGACCCAGAAATGGATTAAGGGGAAGAAAATGGATGGATGGATGGATGATTATTCACAAAGCCTCTAATTAATTAGATTTGTTTTTTAATCGAGTCCCAGCCCTACTAAAAATAAACGCATGTTATAACGCCTGTGCTTATGGTCCGGTCCCCATGGTCCGGTCCCCATGGTCCGGTCCCCATGGTCCGGTCCCCATGGTCCGGTCCCCATGGTCCGGTCCCCATGGTCCGGTCCCCATGGTCCGGTCCCCATGGTCCGGTCCCCATGGTCCAGTCCCCATGGTCTAGTCCCCATGGTCTGGTCCACATGGTGTGAAAGCAGCTCTTACCCACTCCTTTGTGAGCGTCCAGGCTTGTGTACTCGATGGTCCCGTCGTGGCCTTTCTTGGGGTTTTCCTTGTACTCTTTGTGCGCCCCCTCTGGACAGTAGCGGTAGCACAGGCCGTAATCCGCCAGGTACACCTCCACAGACAGAATACCATGAAAATCACAACATGGAGCAACATGGACCTTAAAAACAAATTCTTCATATTGTTCTGATATATCAAATTCAAATCTGTTTGTTTCTTTGGTAGAGATCCCTTTTTGAACAAGGCATTTCAAAAAGCCAAAGACAATGCAATATTTACACAAACGTTTACAAGAAGTAACAACTACTAAAATAAAAATGCAAGTTTGCAGGAATCAGGAGTCTTAGTTATTTCTTAAGACCCTAAACTGTCCACAAATGGACAATGCTAATCCGCTAGCTCGATGAAGCCCGATAGGGAAGTGCTCATGGCGGAGTTAAGCTTTGACTTCCATGTAAAACTCTGAATTGAATTGTGCCACTGGGGGTAAAAACAGATGGAGTGATTCTGCAGTGCTCTCAGTGGCCAGCAGGGGGCAGTACATCTCACTGATCCAGACACTTCATGTGGAAGCCTTTATGTCCATAATGATAAACATTTATGGACATTGGTCCACCCTAAGTTTTTGTGTTTGTACCGTTTGATTCTCTGATCTGTGTTGGAGAATCAACAGCTTTGTAAAGTCCTCTGAGAAAACTACTGCCGTGATTTAGGACAAAACAAGAATCCATGGAATTGAACTAGGATTATACAATGAGCTGCTGAGCTTTGACACCGGGGACAAGAGAGAATTTTTGCAAAAACACTGAAGGTACAACATCTTGATGGTCCAGATCCTGGTATCTCTCACATCTATGGTATCTCTCCCCCTGCTGCTGGTCCCTGATCCTCCCCTGCTGCTGGTCCCTGATCCTCACCTGCTGCTGGTCCCTGATCCTCACCTGCTGCTGGTCCCTGATCCTCCCCAGCTGCTGGTCCCTGATCCTCACCTGCTGCTGGTCCCTGATCCTCCCCTGCTGCTGGTCCCTGATCCTCCCCTGCTGCTGGTCCCTGATCCTCCCCTGCTGCTGGTCCCTGATCCTCACCTGCTGCTGGTCCCTGATCCTCACCTGCTGCTGGTCCCTGATCCTCCCCTGCTGCTGGTCCCTGATCCTCCCCTGCTGCTGGTCCCTGATCCTCACCTGCTGCTGGTCCCTGATCCTCCCCTGCTGCTGGTCCCTGATCCTCCCCTGCTGCTGGTCCCTGATCCTCCCCTGCTGCTGGTCCCTGATCCTCACCTGCTGCTGGTCCCTGATCCTCACCTGCTGCTGGTCCCTGATCCTCCCCTGCTGCTGGTCCCTGATCCTCACCTGCTGCTGGTCCCTGAGTCCCTGCATCACATTCGCAGCCTTGATGTCGCCGTGGACGTACTCACTGTCGTGGATGAACTCCAGCACATCCACCTGGACACAACACAGAGATCAGGACTAGACCAGGACCAGGACCAGGACCAGGACCAGGACCAGGACCAGGACCAGGACCAGGACCACCAACACTCCCCTCTGACACGCCACATTGGACGAGTCGGGTCAGAGTAGTAATGTCCCATCAAAAACATGTTTTCTGCATACTGTGTCTCTCCAAACAATATTTGTCTGATATATGTTTGTTTTGCTCTCTGCTGTTGAATAACTGTCATAAGGAGCGCGGAAATATGAAAATAGTGTCCGCAGCCAGCCTTGATGTTTACTCATCAAACTGAATATCTCCATCTGGGAGAAAACAATGTCTAATCTCATCTCTCTCATCTCAGACCAGGACCAGGACCAGGTCTGGGCTTGAATGTGGACCAGACAAAAGACATACCATGCAGAGGACACTGAGGGGCGGAGCAGGACTGAGGGGAACAGAGAGAGACCAGTGAAAGACCAGAGAGAGAGAGCTAGACCAGAGAGAGAGCAAAGCGAGACCAGAGAGAGAGAGAGAGAGACCAGAGAGAGACCAGAGAGAGACCAGAGAGAGACCAGAGAGAGACCAGAGAGAGACCAGAGAGAGACCAGAGAGAGACCAGTGAGAGACCAGAGAGAGACTAGAGAGAGACCAGTGAGAGACCAAAGAGAGACCAGAGAGAGACACGGGGGGGGGGGGGAGGCCACGGAGTTTCCTGTGTCGTCCGTATTGATGGTTTGGACTCGCACTGAGGAGGATGAGGGTCACATGGTCCTCGCGTCTCACCAGTCTCTTCCCGAGCTGCAGCACGGTGTGGGCAGTGAACCTTCCTCCGTGTTGGTCACAGAGGGTCTGCAGGTCACAGCCCAGACGGTCCAGAGCCATGAAGCGATACCTGAGGAATAATAACAGAATATCATGACCACAACATGCTGCTGTCATCTCATTAGAAACCCTGTCAGAGGGACCAGAGGGAGACCAGAGGGAGACCAGAGGGAGACCAGAGGGAGACCAGAGGGAGACCAGAGAGAAAGACCAGAGAGAGACCAGAGAGAGAGAGACTAGACAGAGACCAGAGAGAGACCAGAGTGAGAGAGACCAGAGACAGAGAGACCAGAAAGAAAGACCAGAGAGAGACCAGAGAGAGCCCTCTGAGTCACTATCTCTGGTCTCTCATTCTCTCTGGTCTCTCCCTCTCTGGTCTCTCCCTCTCTGGTCTCTCCCTCTCTGGTCTCTTTCTGGTCTCTCTCACTCTGGTAATCACTGTCTGAAAAAAGTTTAGATCCTTCTGTCGGCTGAGATCTGAAAAGGCTGATCCAAAAATATACTTGGATAAATACTTGGATAAATACTTGGATAAATACTTGGATAAATACTTGGATAAATACTTGGATAAATACTGAGAGAGTAGTTACCGCATGCCGTTGTGCTGGGCCTGTCCGGAGCCCCAGTACGAGGGGATCCCCAGGAAGTCCAGCCTCCGCCTCTGCATCCACTGCTGGACTGAAACCACACCAGGACATGAGTCAGAACTATATACACATGTGGCTGGTCTCTGCGGCTGGTCTCTCTCTCCGGTCTCTCTCTCCGGTCTCTATCTCTGGTCTCTCTCTCCGGTCTCTATCTCTGGTCTCTCTCTCCGGTCTCTATCTCTGGTCTCTCTCTCTGGTCTCTATCTCTGGTCTCTCTCTCTGGTCTCTCTCTCTGGTCTCTCTCTCTGGTCTCTCTCTCTGGTCTCTCTCTCTGGTCTCTATCTCTGGTCTCTATCTCTGGTCTCTATCTCTGGTCTCTCTCTCCGGTCTCTATCTCTGGTCTCTCTCTCCGGTCTCTATCTCTGGTCTCTCTCTCTGGTCTCTATCTCTGGTCTCTCTCTCTGGTCTCTCTCTCTGGTCTCTCTCTCTGGTCTCTATCTCTGGTCTCTATCTCTGGTCTCTATCTCTGGTCTCTATCTCTGGTCTCTCTCTCTGGTCTCTCTCTCTGGTCTCTCTCTCTGGTCTCTATCTCTGGTCTCTATCTCTGGTCTCTATCTCTGGTCTCTCTCTCTGGTCTCTCTCTCTGGTCTCTCTCTGGTCTCTCTCTCTGGTCTCTATCTCTGGTCTCTCTCTGGTCTCTCTCTGGTCTCTCTCTCTGGTCTCTATCTCTGGTCTCTCTCTGGTTTCTCTCTGGTCTCTCTCTCTGGTCTCTCTCCTCATAGAGACGTCACTCACTCGTGTCTTTCTTCGCTGCTCTCTGGTAAAACTTCAGCTCACAGAACAGAGGGCCATTCTCCAGATTCTCCTGAAAAACACAGTATTTCACACTGAGCTGGAGCTGTTTTGCAAAGAAGAATGGGAAAAACTTTCTTGTAAGGTGGAAAGTGACAAGGACATTTTTGTACATACACTTTATGAAAGAGGCCCCAGACTGACAGGTGTCAGTGACAGGTGTCAGTGTGACAGGTGTCAGTGTGACAGGTGTCAGAGTGACAGGTGTCAGTGACAGGTGTCAGTGACAGGTGTCAGTGACAGGTGTCAGTGACAGGTGTCAGTGACAGGTGTCAGTGACAGGTGTCAGTGTGACAGGTGTCAGAGTGACAGGTGTCAGAGTGACAGGTGTCAGTGACAGGTGTCAGTGACAGGTGTCAGTGACAGGTGTCAGTGACAGGTGTCAGTGACAGGTGTCAGTGACAGGTGTCAGTGTGACAGGTGTCAGAGTGACAGGTGTCAGAGTGACAGGTGTCAGTGACAGGTGTCAGTGACAGGTGTCAGTGACAGAGTGACAGGTGTCAGAGTGACAGGTGTCAGAGTGACAGGTGTCAGTGACAGGTGTCAGTGACAGGTGTCAGTGACAGGTGTCAGTGTGACAGGTGTCAGTGACAGGTGTCAGTGACAGGTGTCAGAGTGACAGGTGTCAGTGACAGGTGTCAGAGTGACAGGTGTCAGTGACAGGTGTCAGTGTGACAGGTGTCAGTGACAGGTGTCAGAGTGACAGGTGTCAGTGACAGGTGTCAGTGTGACAGGTGTCAGTGACAGGTGTCAGTGACAGGTGTCAGAGTGACAGGTGTCAGAGTGACAGGTGTCAGAGTGACAGGTGTCAGTGACAGGTGTCAGTGTGACAGGTGTCAGAGTGACAGGTGTCAGAGTGACACGTGTCAGAGTGACACGTGTCAGAGTGACAGGTGTCAGAGTGACAGGTGTCAGAGTGACAGGTGTCAGAGTGACAGGTGTCAGAGTGACAGGTGTCAGTGTGACAGGTGTCAGTGTGACAGGTGTCAGTGTGACAGGTGTCAGAGTGACAGGTGTCAGTGTGAAAGGTGTCAGTGTGACAGGTGTCAGTGTGACAGGTGTCAGTGTGACAGGTGTCACTGTGACAGGTGTCAGTGTGACAGGTGTCAGTGTGACAGGTGTCAGAGTGACAGGTGTCAGTGTGAAAGGTGTCAGTGTGACAGGTGTCAGTGTGACAGGTGTCAGTGTGACAGGTGTCACTGTGACAGGTGTCAGTGTGACAGGTGTCAGTGTGACAGGTGTCAGTGTGACAGGTGTCAGTGTGACAGGTGTCAGAGTGACAGGTGTCACTGTGACAGGTGTCAGTGTGACAGGTGTCAGTGTGACAGGTGTCAGAGTGACAGGTGTCAGTGACAGGTGTCACTGTGACAGGTGTCAGTGACAGGTGTCACTGTGACAGGTGTCAGTGTGACAGGTGTCAGTGTGACAGGTGTCAGTGACCGGTGTCAGTGACAGGTGTCAGTGACCGGTGTCAGTGACAGGTGTCAGTGTGACAGGTGTCAGTGACAGGTGTCAGTGTGACAGGTGTCAGTGACAGGTGTCAGTGTGACAGGTGTCAGTGACTTCAGCCAAATGGGAAGTGAGCAGAAGCCAATATTAGCAGAAAGAGCTGGTTCTGTATTTCTATCACAATCTAAAAAACCACAGGTCTCTGGTCTCTCGCTCTCTGCTCTCTCGCTCTCCGGTCTCTCGCTCTCCGGTCTCTCGCTCTCCGGTCTCTCGCTCTCCGGTCTCTCGCTCTCCGGTCTCTCGCTCTCCGGTCTCTCGCTCTCCGGTCTCTCGCTCTCTGCCCTCTCGCTCTCTCGCTCTCCGGCCACTTGCTCTCCGGCCTCTCACTCTCTGGTCCCCTGCTCTCTGCTCTCTCGCCTTCTGCTCTCTGCTCTCTTGCCTTCTGCTCTCTGCTCTCTCCCTCTCTGACCTGTGTGTTCACATGTCTCACCACAGTTGAGTTATTTCTGTTTGAAACTCACCACTTTCACCACAAACTGAGCGTCAGAAGGAACCGGTCGCTCCACGTCCAGCGACGCTTCAGAGAAAACAAACCAGTTCAAAAACAAAAAGGGGACAACGCAGTGTCTACAATACTCTACTTTGTCTCTCTCTCTGGTCACTCTCTCTCTGGTCTCTCTCTCTCTGGTCTCTCTCTCTCTGGTCTCTCTCTCTCTGGTCTCTCTCTCTCTGGTCTCTCTCTCTCTGGTCTCTCTCTCTCTGGTCTCTCTCTGGTCTCTCTCTGGTCTCTCTCTGGTCTCTCTCTGGTCTCTCTCTGGTCTCTCTCTGGTCTCTCTCTGGTCTCTCTCTCTGGTCTCTCTCTCTGGTCACTCTCTCTTTGGTCTCTCTCTCTCTGGTCTCTCTCTCTCTGGTCTCTCTCTGGTCTCTCTCTGGTCTCTCTCTGGTCTCTCTCTCTGGTCTCTCTCTCTGGTCTCTCTCTCTGGTCTCTCTCTCTCTGGTCTCTCTCTCTCTGGTCTCTCTCTCTCTGGTCTCTCTCTCTCTGGTCTCTCTCTCTCTGGTCTCTCGCTCTCTGGTCTCTCTCTGGTCTCTCTCTGGTCTCTCTCTGGTCTCTCTCTCTGGTCTCTCTCTCTGGTCACTCTCTCTGGTCTCTCATTAGTCTTTTTTATAAATAGATTACTTACTTAGTCTCTCTATGGTTACTCTCTCTTTCTAGTCTCCCTCTCTCTCTGGTTTCTCTCTGTGTCTGGTCTCTCTCTCGGTGTCTGGTCTCTCTCTCTGTGTCTCTCTCTGTGTCTGGTCTCTCTCGGTGTCTGGTCTCTCTCTCTGTGTCTGGTCTCTCTCTCTGTGTCTGGTCTCTCTCTCTGTGTCTGGTCTCTCTCTCTGTGTCTGGTCTCTCTCTCTGTGTCTGGTCTCTCTCTCTGTGTCTGGTCTCTCTGTGTCTGGTCTCTCTCTTGGTGTCTGGTCTCTCTCTCTGTGTCTGGTCTCTCTCTCTGTGTCTGGTCTCTCTCTCTGTGTCTGGTCTCTCTCTCTCTCTGGTCTCTCTCTCTGTGTCTGGTCTCTCTGGTCTCTCTCTCTCTCTCTGGTCTCTCTCTCTGTGTCTGGTCTCTCTCTCTCTCTCTCTGGTCTCTCTCTCTGTGTCTGGTCTCTCTCTCTGTGTCTGGTCTCTCTCTCTCTGGTCTCTCTCTCTCTGGTCTCTCTCTCTGTGTCTGGTCTCTCTCTCTGTGTCTGGTCTCTCTCTCTCTCTCTCTGGTCTCTCTCTCTGTGTCTGGTCTCTCTCTCTGTGTCTGGTCTCTCTGTGTCTGGTCTCTCTCTCTCTCTCTCTCTCTGGTCTCTCTCTCTGTGTCTGGTCTCTCTCTCTGTGTCTGGTCTCTCTCTCTCTCTCTCTCTGGTCTCTCTCTCTGTGTCTGGTCTCTCTCTCTCTCTCTGGTCTCTCTCTCTGTGTCTGGTCTCTGTCTGACCTGTGTAGACGAGGCCACAGCCGCCCTGGCCGATGAGCCGGCCCAGCCTCCAGCTCTTCTTCTCGGTGTCGATGAGGATGAAACCCTCTGGTAGCGGTTTTGGCAGCGAGCGCTTTCTTGGAGGAGCCATGGATCAGCCTGAAACAGAAAGATTGTATAACCAAAACTTAAAATGTAATCGTTATAATAATACGAGCACTTCTCACTAATACAGGATTCCTGCACATTTTAGAAAGATGTTTATACATGTGTGAGATTTCATAACACTTTGAAGCAACTTTTGTTAAAGTTAAACTCATCATTCTGTCAATGTGCAGAAGCCTGTACTTTTCCACTTCATGTTTTGACTCTCTCTGCTGCACTGTGGCAGCTGCTGATTGGAGGTCTCTGCTTCTCCTGAGTATATCACCACTTGCAGTCGTAACATCCGTTGTTCGTGTTGTTTGTGCGTCTCTACCATAGACAATAAAACATGTCTTCTGTCTGAATGAAAGACACGATCCCAGACTTTCTCATCGTCTTCACATTTTTCAACTTTAGTACAACTACATTTAGTGTGTATCAAGGATACATGGATACTACTACTGTAGCCACAACTGTCTCTGCCACCGACCCCTCCCACCATTCTAATGTGGGTGAAGTGTCTTGCCTAAAGACACAAAAACAGTTGGGCACTTTAAAGCTGCCCACTGGGGTGTACCCAGAGGTCTCCCATCACAGCACTAACCAGGCCCTGTGAACTTATCAGACCACAACATGCTGTCTTCCCCTCATTAGAAAACATGTATCTGGATGTTGGAATCCCTGTGAGATGTTGTGATAGAGTGACTATGTTCTCTCTCTCTGGTCTCCCCCTCTGGTCCCTCTCTCTGGTCTCTCTCTCTGGTCTCTCTCTCTGGTCTCTCTCTCTGGTCTCTCTCTCTTAGTCTCTCTCTCTGGTCTCCCCCTCTGGTCTCCCTCTCTGGTCTCTCTCTCTGGTCTCTCTCTCTGGTCTCTCTCTCTGGTCTCTCTCTCTGGTCTCTCTCTCTGGTCTCTCTCTCTGGTCTCCCTCTCTGGTCTCCCTCTCTGGTCTCCCTCTCTGGTCTCTCTCTCTGGTCTCCCTCTCTGGTCTCTCTCTCTGGTCTCTCTCTCTGGTCTCCCTCTCTGGTCTCCCTCTCTCTGGTCTCTCTCTCTGGTCTCTCTCTCTGGTCTCCCTCTCTGGTCTCCCTCTCTGGTCTCCCTCTCTGGTCTCCCTCTCTGGTCTCCCTCTCTGGTCTCTCTCTCTGGTCTCTCTCTCTGGTCTCTCTCTCTGGTCTCCCTCTCTGGTCTCTCTCTCTGGTCTCTCTCTCTCTGGTCTCTCTCTCTCTGGTCTCTCTCTCTCTGGTCTCTCTCTCTCTGGTCTCTCTCTCTCTGGTCTCTCTCTCTGGTCTCTCTCTCTGGTCTCCTCTCTCTGGTCTCTCTCTCTGGTCTCTCTCTCTGGTCTCTCTCTCTCTGGTCTCTCTCTCTCTGGTCTCTCTCTCTCTGGTCTCTCTCTCTCTGGTCTCTCTCTCTCTGGTCTCTCTCTCTGGTCTCTCTCTCTGGTCTCTCTCTCTGGTCTCTCTCTCTCTGGTCTCTCTCTCTCTGGTCTCTCTCTCTGGTCTCTCTCTCTGGTCTCTCTCTCTGGTCTCTCTCTCTCTGGTCTCTCTCTCTGGTCTCTGGTAAAGACCAGAGAAAGAGAGACCAGAGATAGGCCGGAGAGAGGTCGGAGAATGACCAGAGAGAGACCTGAGAGAGAGACCAGTGAGAGAGACTAGAGATAGACCAGAGAGAGAGACTAGAGAGAGACCAGAGAGAGAGACTAGAGAGAGACCAGAGAGAGAGACCAGAAAGAGACCAGAGAGAGAGACAAGAAAGAAACCACTGAGAGACCAAAGAGACCAGAGAGAGTAACATTGTATTTCGCGTTACAGCAGTAATTTGCATGTTCTCCATCTCACACATTGTGACATGTGACTGTAACTGTCTACAACATGTTATATATTTGCATAATCAAAGACCACAGATGGAAACTCTAAACTCTGGTCTCTGCTTTTACCAGTTTCACCAGGATCTAATGAAACGGTTTAATCATTACCGCAGCTTCTCTCTCTCTGTAAAGGACCCTCTTCACCGTCTCTGCCGGCACCGCAACATGCTAATAACCACCGCGCCGCCATAAATACACAATTAAGCCGCGGCCGTGGGCGTTGGGAGGGTCTGTTCAGAGCGGGGACATCACCACCGCCTCGCCTCACCCACGGCCTGGTCTCTCTCCCTGCTCTCCCCCCACTCTCCCGCCGCCAAGGCCAGTCCCCCTCGTTACAGTATATGTGTGTGTGTGTGTGAGTGAGAGGGAGAGGCTTTCAAGAAGAAGAAGAGAAAGGGAGGAGAGAGAAAAAAAAAACTCAATTTCTAATCAGTGTCACCGGAGCGCGGCTGAAAAACAGATAATTAAAGTTCCTGGGTTTAAAACAGAGAGAGAGAAGCAGAGGTCTCCAGAGAGAACACTGGTATGCAATGTTAGTGTGGATACAGGCTCCGAAAGCTGAAGGACTCATTATCAAACCACCGGACTCTCTGCTGCTCTGGTCTCTCTCTCTCTGGGGCTCTCTCTCTGGTCTCTCTCTCTCTGGGGCTCTCTCACTGGTCTCTCGCTGGTCTCTCTCTGGTCTCTCTTTGGGCTTTCTCTTGTCTCTCTTCGGTCCCTCTGTGGTCTTTCTTTGGTCTCTTTCTGGGCCTCTCTCGCTGGTCATTCTCTGGTCTCTATTTTGGTCTCTGTCTGGTCTCACTTTGGTCTCCTTTCTGGTCTCTCTGGCTTCTCTCACTGGTCTTCCTCTCACTTGTCTCTCTATGGTCCCGCTCTCTTCACTCTCTCTGCTCTCTCTCTTGTCTCTCTCACTGGTCTCTCTCTCTGGTCTCTCTCACTGGTCTCTCTCTGTTCTCTCTCTCTGTTCTCTCTCACTGGTCTCTCTCTGCTCTCTCTCTCTCTTGTCTCTCTCATTGGTCTCTCTCTCTCTGGTCTCTCTCACTGGTCTCTCTCTGCTCTCTCTCTCTGTTGTCTCTCTCACTGGTCTCTCTCTGGTCTCTCTCTCGCTCTTGTCTCTCTCACTGGTCTCTCTCACTGGTCTCTCTCTGCTCTCTCTCTCTCTTGTCTCTCTCACTGGTCTCTCTCTGCTCTCTCTCTCGCTGGTCTCTCTCACTGGTCTCTCTCTGCTCTCTCTCTCTCTCTGGTCTCTCTCACTGGTCTCTCTCTGCTCTCTCTCTCTGTTGTCTCTCTCACTGGTCTCTCTCTGCTCTCTCTCTCTCTCTGGTCTCTCTCATTGGTCTCTCTCTCTCTGGTCTCTCTCACTGGTCTCTCTCTGATCTCTCTCTCTGTTGTCTCTCTCACTGGTCTCTCTCTGCTCTCTCTCTCTCTCTTGTCTCTCTCACTGGTCTCTCTCTCTGGCCTCTCTCACTGGTCTCTCTCTGTTCTCTCTCTCTGTTCTCTCACACTGGTCTCTCTCTGCTCTCTCTCTCTCTTGTCTCTCTCATTGGTCTCTCTCTCTCTGGTCTCTCTCACTGGTCTCTCTCTGCTCTCTCTCTCTGTTGTCTCTCTCACTGGTCTCTCTCTGCTCTCTCTCTCTCTCTCTTGTCTCTCTCACTGGTCTCTCTCTGCTCTCTCTCTCTCTTGTCCCTCTCACTGGTCTCTCTCTGCTCTCTCTCTCTCTGGTCTCTCTCACTGGTCTCTCTCTGCTCTCTCTCTCTCTCTGGTCTCTCTCACTGGTCTCTCTCTGCTCTCTCTCTCTGTTGTCTCTCTCACTGGTCTCTCTCTGCTCTCTCTCTCTCTCTGGTCTCTCTCACTGGTCTCTCTCTGCTCTCTCTCTCTCTTGTCTCTCTCACTGCTCTCTCTCTGCTCTCTCTCTCACTGGTCTCTCTCTGCTCTCTCTCTCTGTTGTCTCTCTCACTGGTCTCTCTCTGCTCTCTCTCTCTCTCTTGTCTCTCTCACTGGTCTCTCTCTGCTCTCTCTCTCTGTTGTCTCTCTCTGCTCTCTCTTTCTTGTCTCTCTCACTGGTCTCTCTATCTCTGGTCTCTCTCACTGGTCTCTCTCTGCTCTCTCTCTCTCTCTCTGGTGTCTCTCTCATTGGTCTCTCTCTGCTCTCTCTCTCTCTTGTCTCTCTCACTGGTCTCTCTCTGCTCTTTCTCTCTCTTGTCTCTCTCACTGGTCTCTCTCTGCTCTCTCTCTCTCTCTGGTCTCTCTCACTGGTCTCTCTCTGCTCTCTCTCTCTCTCTCTCTGTTGTCTCTCTCATTGGTCTCTCTCTGCTCTCTCTCTCTCTTGTCTCTCTCACTGGTCTCTCTCTGCTCTTTCTCTCTCTTGTCTCTCTCACTGGTCTCTCTCTGCTCTCTCTCTCTCTCTGGTCTCTCTCACTGGTCTCTCTCTGCTCTCTCTCTCTCTTGTCTCTTTCACTGGTCTCTCTCTGCTCTCTCTCTCTCTCTGGTCTCTCTCACTGGTCTCTCTCTGCTCTCTCTCTCTCTTGTCTCTCTTTCTGTTCTCTCTCACTGGTCTCTCTCTGCCCTCTCTTCTCTCTTTTTCTCTAGCCTGTCTTGCTGGTCCCTCCCTCTGGTCTCTCTCTTCAGGTCTCTACTTCCTGGTTTGTACTGAGACCATGTACTTCCGCCTCTGTCACATCTTCAGATCAGAGAGCACCACCTTTACCTCGCTCAACTGTAAATCCTCTCATTTCTACACATTTTCTCTCAGACCTATTTCCAGTGAGACCTCATCAGCGCCCGGATCTGGCTCGGCCCATTCTCCACGCCGCTCGGTCCCGCCTCCTCGCCACCGCATTCACAATCCACCACTAAACCCTCCGAGAAGCAGCCCATTCGCCGCCGCATCGGTTCAGCTCGGCTCCACACATTCCTTTCTGCTCAATTAAAACTCAGCCATTTTTAGATTTTTCTCTTTTTTTTGGGTTCTTTCTTTTTTACCGCGCGACAGACCGAGATGGCGCCTGGCGACCGCAGAACCGCTCATTTGTACCTTTAACGTTATTGATGTAGATGAACTTTTAAAAAGGTAAGTAACTGAGATGTGAAATGATTCATCAGGAGGCAGCCATGTAGTAAATGTGATTTCCATCGCAAAGAGAGAGAGAAAGAGAGAGAGAAAGAGAGAGAGAGAGAGAGAGAGAGACAGAGCGGCCATTACCACCGCGGGGGCCGGTATGTGCGTCGCGGCTGCTGCTTGGAAAATGAGAAATTAAGATTGGAAATGTTTTTAAATACTTGCCAAACTTCCAGTCCATTACGTTCCCAGCTTCATGCACAGAAAAGAGTTTTTATTCTTCTCAAATTAACTTTTCCAACATAGTAAATATGGTAAGTAGTAGTAGTGATAAGTATTGCATAGTATCGTATCGTATCCTATAGCATGGTATAGTATAGTATAGCACGGTATTGTATAGTGTAGTATCGTATTGTATTGTATTGAATCGTATCGTATTGTATAGCATAGTATTGTATTGTATAGTATAGCATAGTATCGTATTGTATTGTATTGTATAGTATAGCACAGTATCGTATCGTATTGTATAGCATAGTATCGTATCGTATAGCATAGCATTGTATCGTATCGTATTGTATCGTATAGCATAGTATCGTATTGTATAGCATAGTATCGTATCGTATCGTATAGCATAGTATAGTATTGTATATCATAGTATCGTATCGTATAGCATAATATTGTATCGTATCGTATCGTATTGTATAGCATAGTATCGTATCGTATCGCATAGCATAGTATCGTATCGTATAGCATATTATTGTATCGTATCGTATGGCATAGTATCGTATAGTATTGTATTGTATAACATAGTATCGTATAGCATAGTATCGTATCGTATTGTATCGTATAGCATAGTATCATATAGTATTGTATCGTATAGCATAGTATCGTATAGCATAGTATCGTATCGTATCGTATAGCATACTATCGTATAGCATAGTATTGTATCGTATAGCATAGTACAGTACAGTACAATACAGTATCGTATCATATCATATAGTGTGCGTGTGTGTCTGTGTGTGTGTGCGTGCGTGTCTGTGTGTGTGTGCGTGTGTGTCTGTGTGTGTGTGCGTGCGTGTCTGTGTGTGTGTGTGTGTGTGTGTGCGTGTGTGTGTGTGTGTGTGTGCGTGTGTGTGTGCGTGCGTGCGTGTGTGTGTGTGTCTGTGTGTGTGTGTGTGTGTCTGTGTGTGTGCGTGTCTTGTCTTGTCTCTTACTCATATCTGTTCAATGTGTGTATAGCCCTAAGTTACAGCAGCAGTCGTCTCTGAGGATTTTACAAAGTTGTGGATTCACCAACAACAGATCAGAGAATCTAACAGTACAAACACAGGCTGTAAGTAAGTAAGTAAGTAAGTAAGTTTTTATTTATATACCGCCTTTTCACTGCAGATCTGAGTCTCAAAGCGGTTTACAATTGTTAATTTTGGGCATTTGTCTCTCACTCCACACAGAGATGGGAGCGGGGCCAGTACAGGAGGCATGCTAGAACTATTGGACATATTTTTAGTGGTAGGGGAAACCGGAGTACCCGGAGGAAACCTACGCAGACACGGGGAGAACATGCAAACTCCACTCAGAAAGGCCCTGGTCCGACCGGGATTTGAACCCAGGACCTTCTTGCTGAGAGGCGAGAGTGCTATCCACTCAGCCACCGTGCCGCCTGTAGACCCAGGACTGAGGCTGTAGACCCAGGACTGAGGCTGTAGACCCAGGACTGAGGCTGTAGACCCAAGACTGAGGCTTTAGACCCAGGACCGAGGCTGTAGACCCAGGACTGAGGCTGTAGACCCAGGACTGACGCTGTAGACCCAGGACTGAGGCTGTAGACCCAGGACTGAGGCTGTAGACCCAGGACTGACGCTGTAGACCCAAGACTGAGGCTGTAGACCCAGGACTGAGGCTGTAGACCCAGGACTGAGGCTGTAGACCCAAGACTGAGGCTGTAGACCCAGGACTGAGGCTGTAGACCCAAGACTGAGGCTGTAGACCCAGGACTGAGGCTGTAGACCCAAGACTGAGGCTGTAGACCCAGGACTGAGGCTGTAGACCCAAGACTGAGGCTGTAGACCCAGGACTGAGGCTGTAGACCCAGGACTGAGGCTGTAGACCCAGGACTGAGGCTGTAGACCCAAGACTGAGGCTGTAGACCCAGGACTGAGGCTGTAGACCCAGGACTGAGGCTGTAGACCCAGGACTGAGGCCGTAGACCCTGGACTGAGAATGTAGACCCAGGACTGAGGTTGTAGACCCAGGACTGAGGCTGTAGACCCAAGACTGAGGCTGTAGACCCAGGACTGAGGCTGTAGACCCAGGACTGAGGCTGTAGACCCAAGACTGAGGCTGTAGACCCAGGACTGAGGCTGTAGACCCAGGACTGAGGCTGTAGACCCAGGACTGAGGCTGTAGACCCAGGACTGAGGCTGTAGACCCAGGACTGAGGCTGTAGACCCAGGACTGAGGCTGTAGACCCAGGACTGAGGCTGTAGACCCAGGACTGAGGCTGTAGATCCAGGACTGAGGCAGTATCATACCATCAGTACATCAGCTCTCTCTCTCTCTCTCTCTCTCTCTCTCTCTCTCTCTCCCGCTCTCTCTCTCTCTCTCTCTCTCTCTCTCTCCCTCTCTCTCTCTCTCTCTCTCTCTCTCACTCTCTCTCTCTCTCTCTCTCTCTCTCTCTCTCTCTCTCTCTCTCTCTCTCTCTCTCTCTCTCTCTCTCTCTCTCTCTCTCTCTCTCTCAGTTTCAAACACTCTCGGCTTATTTACTTTAAAACCTCAAACTCAAACTCATGTATTTATTCCTTTCGTGTAATTACTGACTCCTCGTGTGTAAAGTAGAAAAACAGCCACAAGGACTTTCTCTCCTTCTCCGTCATTTGGAGAAAACTTCCTTCTACATTCATCGACTTTCAGTTTTTCTCAAAGTGATTGGACTCGGACACTTCTTCCACCGTGACCTTGTCAGACCCCTCCCCCCCCCCCCCACCCCCTCCCCCCATATTTTGGAGACGAGGTCCTGGTGGAAGTAATTGAGCCTTTGGGGGGAGGAAGGCTGGAGGATGGGTGATGGTGGTGGGGGCGATGGGGGAGAGAAACCCGAGCTGTGGCCTCGGTCCTGTTCGGATCTGTATTGATGATCGAGGCCTGGTTTTGGGATCGATCGGCAGAGTGGAGAGAAGGGAGAGGGAGAGATAGAGGGGGAGAGCGGGGAAGAGAGAGACGAAGAGTGAGAGATGGCGAGAGAGACTGGAGAGAGAGATGAGAGAGCTGTAGAAAAAAGGCTCTGCCACTATGAGAGAGAGAGAGAGAGAGTTTATGAGTTTAAAATCATTATGAATACATACAGTCAAGCACTGGTGGTGACTAGAAGCATGGTGTGAATGGGGCGTATGCGGAGCAGGAGCCAGAGCAGGAGTCAGAGCAGGAGCCAGAGCAGGAGTCAGAGCAGGAGCCAGAGCAGGAGCCAGAGCAGGAGCCAGAGCAGGAGCCAGAGCAGGAGCCAGAGCAGGAGCCAGAGCAGGAGCCAGAGCAGGAGCCAGAGCAGGAGCCAGAGCAGGAGCCAGGGCAGAAGCCAGAGCAGGAGTCAGAGCAGGAGTCAGAGCAGGAGCCAGAGCAGAAGCCAGAGCAGAAGCCAGAGCAGGAGTCAGAGCAGGAGCCAGAGCAGGAGCCAGAGCAGGAGCCAGAGCAGGAGCCAGAGCAGGAGCCAGAGCAGAAGCCAGGGCAGAAGCCAGAGCAGGAGTCAGAGCAGGAGCCAGAGCAGGAGCCAGGGCAGAAGCCAGGGCAGAAGCCAGAGCAGGAGTCAGAGCAGGAGCCAGAGCAGGAGCCAGGGCAGGAGCCAGAGCAGGAGCCAGAGCAGGACCCAGAGCAGGAGTCAGAGGAGGAGCCAGAGCAGGAGCCAGAGCAGGAGCCAGAGCAGGAGCCAGAGCAGGAGCCAGAGCAGGAGCCAGGGCAGAAGCCAGAGCAGGAGTCAGAGCAGGAGTCAGAGCAGGAGCCAGAGCAGAAGCCAGAGCAGAAGCCAGAGCAGGAGTCAGAGCAGGAGCCAGAGCAGGAGCCAGAGCAGGAGCCAGAGCAGGAGCCAGAGCAGGAGCCAGAGCAGAAGCCAGGGCAGAAGCCAGAGCAGGAGTCAGAGCAGGAGCCAGAGCAGGAGCCAGGGCAGAAGCCAGGGCAGAAGCCAGAGCAGGAGTCAGAGCAGGAGCCAGAGCAGGAGCCAGTGCAGGAGCCAGAGCTGGAGTCAGAGCAGGAGCCAGAGCAGGAGCTTGAGGAGGTGCTGGGGAGGTGCTGGGTGTTCAGAGCTTCAGGAAGCGCTGGTTAGTAGGAAGTGGCTGCTTTTAAACTGCTGCTTTGCTGTCAGTGGGTTGGGGGCAGTGTGATTGGCTGAGGCTGAGCCCCATTCATTTGACGAGTGCATTCTAAACTTCACAGCAACTAAACAAAACTAAAAAACATTGGGAAATTCTCTTTCCGGGTACACCCCCACAGGCAAGGAGTGCGAATACCTGTCAGCGCACGTGCTCATGGACCTTTTGGAGCTGAGACACACCCGCACTTGAAGAGACTCAGCAGTTCCTCTGTTCCTCTCTTTCACACAGCGAGGGTGGATCAGTCTGTCACTGAAGCTGCTCTCTAGGCTGATGCCACCACAGGAAATGCAATAAGAACAAACACGCAGCAGCCTCAGGTCCATCGGGATCAGGACGACCACTGTCCAATCACATTATTATTCACAGATGTCTCTTTTGCCGCTAAACTTGGGCGGACTCTCCACAGATGACGCCTGAAGCTAGTTCCGGTGACATCCAAATAACATTTAGTTGGACCCGGGCCAAAGCCACGCCTTCTCACTCACAGAATAAACAGCATCATCTCCAGACGTATCACTTTTATTTACTCGCTCTAAATTCCGCTCGGAGCGAGTTCGACGGTGAAAAATGATTAATTAATGGTGTTTCTGCCTAAAAACACCATTACTCCAGTGTGGAGTGAAGCAGCGGTCAGCGGCAGAGACCTCGCCGCGTCTAGAATTTCAATGCCGTGAGTTTCCGATGAAAGCCTCGGGCAAATCCAAAACCAAACTTATGTTAATTGGACGACTTTAAATTACTTTTGTGATGTATCTTTTGTTAATCTGGAAGTGGCAGCTTTGATGGTAGAACGTAGACAGACTGTTTCACTGCTTTACTTTCAAAGAATATCCCTGTATTCATGGTTCATGGAGCGGAGAAAGGAGAGAGCGCAGAAAGGAGAGAGCAGAGAAAGGAGAGAGCAGAGAAAGGAGAGAGCGGAGAAAGGAGAGAGCGGAGAAAGGAGAGAGCGGAGAAAGGAGAGAGTGGAGAAAGGAGAGAGCGGAGAGAGGAGAGAGCGCAGAAAGGAGAGAGCGGAGAAAGGAGAGAGCGGAGAAAGGAGAGAGGAGAGAAAGGAGAGAGGAGAGAGCAGAGAAGGAGAGAGCAGAGAAAGGAGAGAGGAGAGAGCGGAGAAAGGAGAGAGCAGAGAAAGGAGAGAGCAGAGAAAGGAGAGAGGAGAGAACGGAGAGAGGAGAGAGCGGATAAAGGAGAGAGCAGAGAAAGGAGAGAGCGGAGAAAGGAGAGAGCAGAGAAAGGAGAGAGGAGAAAGCGGAGAAAGGAGAGAGTGGAGAAAGGAGAGAGGAGAGAAAGGAGAGAGGAGAGAGCGGAGAAAGGAGAGAGCAGAGAAAGGAGAGAGCGGAAAAAGGAAAGAGTAGGGAAAGGAGAGAGCAGAGAAAGGAGAGAGGAGAGAAAGGAGAGAGCAGAGAAAGGAGAGAGCGTAGAAAGGAGAGAGCAGAGAAAGGAGAGAGCACAGAAAGGAGAGAGGAGAGAGCGCAGAAAGGAGAGAGGAGAGAGCAGAGAAAGGAGAGAGGAGAAAGGAGAGAGGAGAGAAAGGAGAGAGCAGAGAAAGGAGAGGAGAGAGCAGAGAAAGGAAAGAGGAGAACGGAGAGAAAGGAGAGAGGAGAGAGCGGAGAAAGGAGAGACCAGAGAAAGGAGAGAGGAGAGAAAGGAGAGAGGAGAGAGCGGAGAAAGGAGAGAGCAGAGAAAGGAGAGAGCAGAGAAAGGAGAGAGCAGAGAGCGGAGAAAGGAAAGAGCAGAGAAAGGAGAGAGGAGAGAGAGGAGAGAGCGGAGAAAGGAGAGAGCAGAGAAAGGAGAGAGGAGAGAGAGGAGAGAGCGGAGAAAGGAGAGAGCAGAGAGCGGAGAAAGGAGAGAGGAGAGAGCGGAGAAAGGAAAGAGCAGAGAAAGGAGAGAGGAGAGAAAGGAGAGAGGAGAGAGCAGAGAAAGGAAAGAGCAGAGAAAGGAGAGAGCAGAGAAAGGAGAGAGGAGAGAGCAGAGAAAGGAAAGAGGAGAAAGGAGAGAAAGGAGAGAGCGGAGAAAGGAGAGACCAGAGAAAGGAGAGAGGAGAGAAAGGAGAGAGGAGAGAGCGGAGAAAGGAGAGAGCAGAGAAAGGAGAGAGCAGAGAAAGGAGAGAGGAGAGAGCGGAGAAAGGAAAGAGCAGAGAAAGGAGAAAGGAAAGAGCAGAGAAAGGAGAGAGCAGAGAAAGGAGAGAGGAGAGAGCGGAGAAAGGAAAGAGCAGAGAAAGGAGAGAGCAGAGAAAGGAGAGAGGAGAGAGCGGAGAAAGGAAAGAGCAGAGAAAGGAGAGAGCAGAGAAAGGGAGAGAGGAGAGAGCGGAGAAAGGAAAGAGCAGAGAAAGGAGAGAGCAGAGAAAGGAGAGAGGAGAGAGCGGAGAAAGGAAAGAGCAGAGAAAGGAGAGAGCAGAGAAAGGAGAGAGCAGAGAAAGGAGAGAGGAGAGAGCGGAGAAAGGAAAGAGCAGAGAAAGGAGAGAGCAGAGAAAGGAGAGAGCAGAGAAAGGAGAGAGGAGAGAGCGGAGAAAGGAAAGAGCAGAGAAAGGAGAGAGCAGAGAAAGGAGAGAGGAGAGAGCAGAGAAAGGAGAGAGGAGAGAGCGGAGAAAGGAAAGAGCAGAGAAAGGAGAGAGCAGAGAAAGGAGAGAGCAGAGAAAGGAGAGAGGAGAGAGCGTAGAGTAGGTAAGGGATAACGTATACTACGCAGGTCATTATCCCGCTTATTATACGGCTTTATACCAACAGAACACAGAACACAACCCTCAGTCCACTTTTAGGAATGCCCAAAGGTTTATTTGATGACAGAAAATAAAATAGTTCCCAAAGGCTTTCCCGTGGCTATGCTAGCAACAGTTAGGCTAGCAACTTCCAAACTAGAACTCTCTGGAACTGCATGAAAACTGAACAAAGAATTCTGAACATCAGCGGTGAGTGACCCAAACATAAACTTTGCAAATGTTCCTAAAATGTTCCCGTATCTACTTCCGGGTTTTTCGGGATCGCCTTTTCTTGCTTTACATCAGTGTTTTTGTCATGAAAACGTAAACGGAAAATTCTGAAAACTTCCGTGCACTTGTATTAAGACTGGATATGTATAAATTACTCTCCGATTAACATTTCATTAAGTTGATTGATTGGCACCGATTTGACGCAGAGAAATAGTATTTTTGTCATGAAGACAAGACCAGAAAATTCTGAAAACTTCCGTGCACGTGTGTGAAGAATGTATAAGTATAAAGTATTCTCCGATTAACATTTAAGTGTGTTGATTGAGCGTGGCTCCGGAGTGGCCGGAACTACTTGCGGAGTTATCCACGCATCTGAAAGACAAGCAGAGAGTGTGTTGCCAAAGGGCAGCGGTCATTATTGTTTTGAGAGGTTCGTTATAGAAACATGACCAGTAGAACGTTTTGAAATTACATTCAAATCAATGGAGCATTCTACTGCTGCTGTGAGGAGCGTGTGATAAAGTAGAGTAGAGTAATAACTGCACTTTAAAGTCAGCTTTAATGTGGACGTGACACTAACGACACTAAGAGATAGTAGAGAGGGAAGAAAGAGAGAGCAGAGGGAGAGAGAGACCAGAAAGAGAGTAGGGAGAGAGAGAGAGCAGAGAGAGACCAACATCTATCTGGTCTCTCTCTCTGGTCTCTCTCTCCGGTCTCTCTCTCCGGTCTCTCTCTGGTCTCTCTTTCCTGTCTCTCTCTGGTCTCTCTCTCCCGTCTCTCTCTGGTCTCTCTCTCTGGTCTCTCTCTCTGGTCTCTCTCTCTGGTCTCTCTCCAGTGTCTCTCTCTGGTCTCTCTCTCCTGTCTCTCTCTGGTCTCTCTCTCCCGTCTCTCTCTGGTCTCTCTCTCTGGTCTCTCTCTGGTCTCTCTCTCTGGTCTCTCTCTGGTCTCTCTCTCTGGTCTCTCTCTGGTCTCTCTCTCTGGTCTCTCTCTCCAGTCTCTCTCTCTCTGGTCGCTCTCTCCGGTCGCTCTCTCCGGTCGCTCTCTCCGGTCGCTCTCTCCGGTCGCTCTCTCCGGTCGCTCTCTCCGGTCGCTCTCTCCGGTCGCTCTCTCCGGTCTCTCTCTCCGGTCTCTCTCTCCGGTCTCTCTCTCTGGTCTCTCTCTCTCTGGTTTCTGATTCATTCCTTGTCAATTTTTAAACCTTGTGTTATCACTTACCCGTCTGATTCTCAATGAGGTACTTTTGCACGAGTATTCCAATGTGGTTTTACTGCAAACACCAAATGACATGAATCAGGGACAGAGCTCGGATTAGAGCCGCTGCATACGTCTAGTGTCAGTGCAGCGGTGAAGCCACAGGGAGCTCTGTGACTGAGGACAGAGTCGGTTAAACACTCTCTCGCTTCTACCCTTTGTATTCACGCCATGACAAGTCGAACGTGGCGCCGTGGAGTGGCCGGAACGCCGCGGCCTTGGCCCTCGGGGGAAATGCAATCTGCTGCTTGCCGCCGCCACGTCCCGCGCGAGGGAAAGGAAGTGGACGGAACAGGAAATGGGCAGAACAGGAAATGGGCAGAACAGGAAATGGGCAGAGACGGAGGCTAATGCTGCAAAAAAATAGCCACGCCGTAATCTGCTGCTATCGCTTTTAAACAACAAGGGAATCTGAACCCGGGAAACAGAGATTATGTTCAAGAGATTTAGATTAAGATTAAGAGATTGTGTACTGGTCCCACAGCGGGGAAATGTCAGTGTTGCATCATCAGTTACAGAACAGTAGGAACAATGAGATAGATATATAAAACAAAAACATAATAAACAATATTCTAGAGCATAAATATGTAGTGGTATGTTTACATCTGTACATGTTAGCAGCAGGAGGGTCTGGGATAAAGTGACAAAGATGCTAAGCAGGGAAGGGCCTGGTTAGTGCTGTGATGGGAGACCTCTGGGAACAGCAGGTGCCACAGTGGGGCGGCTGCGGCTGTAAAGTACCCAAACTGTGGCTGTGTCCTTAGGCAAGACACTTCCCCCACATTAGAATGAGTCTGGTGTGTGTGTGTGAGTGGTTGGTGGTGGTGGGAAGGTTGCCTCGCTTCTGTCAGTGTGCCCCAGGGCAGCTGTGGCTACAGAAGCAGTGAAAGAATAATGACATCTGAAGAGACTTTTAATAGACTGACATAAAACCAATGCATTTTTGGAGGTTAAACCGTGTCCTTGTTGTAAAGTCTAAAAATAAAAAGTAAAAGTCACAAACTAAAGAAACAACACGTCCGCCTTAATCAGGTTGATGTTAACATTTGCATCGAACCAGAAAAGAAAACACATTGTTCTGTCGCTGTCAGATGAAAACAGTTAACGTAGCATTAGCATTTAGCCCGCAGCTAGAATTAACATTTGTGAATATTTATACACGTTAGCTCCGTTGGACGACTTTATATTCCTGCACATGTTTCTCTCAGGTCCTCATGTCTCTCGCACCGAGCCGGACTCTTCAGGACGGGTGCAGAGTCTCAACATGTGGTGCTTGTTCCTCTGTCTAAGAGCATCACACACTTCTCTCTGTGCTGACACTGAGGTTAAAGGTTTTTGTTTTAGTTCAGACGCAACACACACAACAACCTGCTGTCTTCATATAAGTAGAACACCTTTTCGTTTATGTAAAAATAGTCTTAAAAACTCAAAGTCTCTTCGCAGCATTAATGATTCGCTCCAAACACTGAGCTGCCCTGGGGCACACTGACAGAAGCGAGGCCACCAGTCTGTACCATCGGCCCCTCCCACCACCAACAACCACTCACACACACACCAGACTCATTCTAATGTGGGGGAAGTGTCTTGCCTAAGGACACAGCCACAGTTTACAGCCGTAGCTGCCCCACTGTGCCACCTGCTGATCCCTGAGGTCTCCCATCACATATTAACCAGGCCCTGCCCTGCTTAGCTTCAGAGGTCTAACTGGTTCAAACTGTATAAGAACCAGGAACATTGTGTCCTTAGGCAAGACACTATTCTCATTACTAAGACGGATAATGTATTTTAATAGAGAGCATTATCCATGAAGCAGAAGCAGAAACGGCGAAGACACGGCGAGGACACGGCGAGGACACGGCGAGGACACGGCGAGGACACGGCGAGGACACGGCGAGGACACGGCGGCCCACGCAGCTCTGACGTGGGTCTGGGGCCGTTTGGATTCGCCACATCGGGTTCGTCAGCGTCTGCACAGAGGCGTGTCCTAATAAAACTTCAAACCCTTCCTCAAGGCTTCGCAACGTGACGTAACATTTCCATTCTCTATTTTTAGACTTCAAACAGCGTCGACAGCGGGGACAGAAATAGACAAATGAGTTTAGTTTGGATCTGTACAGTATGTTATTGTTTTAGAGACAGATTTAAACAGAAGAAGAAGTGCTAAAATAAATGTAAAACGTTCAAGACAAAATACTTTCCCTAAAACTATTCAATAAATATTTGTCAAAACGTTCAAAGCCACTTTTCTTACAGTAATGTCCCGTAGAGCACCTTTAAATTCACCAATAGAATGAGACCACAGAGAAGGCCCTGTGCTCTGGGTTTGAGACCACAGAGAAGGCCCTGTGCTCTGGGTTTGAGACCACAGAGAAGGCCCTGTGCTCTGGGTTTAAGACCACAGAGAAGGCCCTGTGCTCTGGGTTTAAGACCACAGAGAAGGCCCTGTGCTCTGGGTTTAAGACCACAGAGAAGGCCCTGTGCTCTGGGTTTAAGACCACAGAGAAGGCCCTGTGCTCTGGGTTTAAGACCACAGAGAAGGCCCTGTGCTCTGGGTTTAAGACCACAGAGAAGGCCCTGTGCTCTGGGTTTGAGACCACAGAGAAGGCCCTGTGCTCTGGGTTTAAGACCACAGAGAAGGCCCTGTGCTCTGGGTTTGAGACCACAGAGAAGGCCCTGTGCTCTGGGTTTAAGACCACAGAGAAGGCCCTGTGCTCTGGGTTTAAGACCACAGAGAAGGCCCTGTGCTCTGGGTTTAAGACCACAGAGAAGGCCCTGTGCTCTGGGTTTAAGACCACAGAGAAGGCCCTGTGCTCTGGGTTTAAGACCACAGAGAAGGCCCTGTGCTCTGGGTTTAAGACCACAGAGAAGGCCCTGTGCTCTGGGTTTAAGACCACAGAGAAGGCCCTGTGCTCTGGGTTTAAGACCACAGAGAAGGCCCTGTGCTCTGGGTTTAAGACCACAGAGAAGGCCCTGTGCTCTGGGTTTAAGACCACAGAGAAGGCCCTGTGCTCTGGGTTTAAGACCACAGAGAAGGCCCTGTGCTCTGGGTTTAAGACCACAGAGAAGGCCCTGTGCTCTGGGTTTAAGACCACAGAGAAGGCCCTGTGCTCTGGGTTTAAGACCACAGAGAAGGCCCTGTGCTCTGGGTTTAAGACCACAGAGAAGGCCCTGTGCTCTGGGTTTAAGACCACAGAGAAGGCCCTGTGCTCTGGGTTTAAGACCACAGAGAAGGCCCTGTGCTCTGGGTTTGAGACCACAGAGAAGGCCCTGTGCTCTGGGTTTAAGACCACAGAGAAGGCCCTGTGCTCTGGGTTTAAGACCACAGAGAAGGCCCTGTGCTCTGGGTTTAAGACCACAGAGAAGGCCCTGTGCTCTGGGTTTAAGACCACAGAGAAGGCCCTGTGCTCTGGGTTTAAGACCACAGAGAAGGCCCTGTGCTCTGGGTTTGAGACCACAGAGAAGGCCCTGTGCTCTGGGTTTAAGACCACAGAGAAGGCCCTGTGCTCTGGGTTTAAGACCACAGAGAAGGCCCTGTGCTCTGGGTTTAAGACCACAGAGAAGGCCCTGTGCTCTGGGTTTAAGACCACAGAGAAGGCCCTGTGCTCTGGGTTTAAGACCACAGAGAAGGCCCTGTGCTCTGGGTTTAAGACCACAGAGAAGGCCCTGTGCTCTGGGTTTAAGACCACAGAGAAGGCCCTGTGCTCTGGGTTTAAGACCACAGAGAAGGCCCTGTGCTCTGGGTTTAAGACCACAGAGAAGGCCCTGTGCTCTGGGTTTAAGACCACAGAGAAGGCCCTGTGCTCTGGGTTTAAGACCACAGAGAAGGCCCTGTGCTCTGGGTTTAAGACCACAGAGAAGGCCCTGTGCTCTGGGTTTAAGACCACAGAGAAGGCCCTGTGCTCTGGGTTTAAGACCACAGAGAAGGCCCTGTGCTCTGGGTTTAAGACCACAGAGAAGGCCCTGTGCTCTGGGTTTAAGACCACAGAGAAGGCCCTGTGCTCTGGGTTTAAGACCACAGAGAAGGCCCTGTGCTCTGGGTTTAAGACCACAGAGAAGGCCCTGTGCTCTGGGTTTAAGACCACAGAGAAGGCCCTGTGCTCTGGGTTTAAGACCACAGAGAAGGCCCTGTGCTCTGGGTTTAAGACCACAGAGAAGGCCCTGTGCTCTGGGTTTAAGACCACAGAGAAGGCCCTGTGCTCTGGGTTTAAGACCACAGAGAAGGCCCTGTGCTCTGGGTTTAAGACCACAGAGAAGGCCCTGTGCTCTGGGTTTAAGACCACAGAGAAGGCCCTGTGCTCTGGGTTTAAGACCACAGAGAAGGCCCTGTGCTCTGGGTTTAAGACCACAGAGAAGGCCCTGTGCTCTGGGTTTAAGACCACAGAGAAGGCCCTGTGCTCTGGGTTTAAGACCACAGAGAAGGCCCTGTGCTCTGGGTTTAAGACCACAGAGAAGGCCCTGTGCTCTGGGTTTAAGACCACAGAGAAGGCCCTGTGCTCTGGGTTTAAGACCACAGAGAAGGCCCTGTGCTCTGGGTTTAAGACCACAGAGAAGGCCCTGTGCTCTGGGTTTAAGACCACAGAGAAGGCCCTGTGCTCTGGGTTTAAGACCACAGAGAAGGCCCTGTGCTCTGGGTTTAAGACCACAGAGAAGGCCCTGTGCTCTGGGTTTGAGACCACAGAGAAGGCCCTGTGCTCTGGGTTTGAGACCACAGAGAAGGCCCTGTGCTCTGGGTTTGAGACCACAGAGAAGGCCCTGTGTTCTGGGTTTAAGTCTCTGAAGCAACACAAGCTCTTTACACAACCTTCTTCAGTTGAAAGCAGTTTTGCGTCAAACCCACAGAAATACAATATTGAGAGCTCACTTTGTATCAGTCTGCATCATGAACTAACCAAGAATACTTCCATTTCTATCGTTCAGCCACTGCTCTTCAGGTGAGATGGAGTATTTTACTTCAATCGACAATTCTCTCAAAAAGTAACTTTGTTCAAACCATAAGAAAGCACCAAGTTTACAGTGAAGTGTTGGCAATAAAGTTAAATGATATCACTGGAAATATTGACAATAAATTCTCCAATATGTAGTTAATTCAAACCAGCGGGACGGCAAAATCACACCAACGTTGAATCCAATCACTGCCGACAAAAACAACAAAATGCCCCAAAACGTGCAGTATCCACACCAGCAAACATGCACCACGCTTTCACCGCAGTTTCACAGTAACAGATAAGATAAGATAAGATAAACCTTTATTACTCTCACAGTGGAGAATAACAGTCGCAGTAGCAACGAGGAAAAACACAGCTTTATTTTGCACAGAGACAGATGGAGAGACGGAGCCCTCTTCAAGTCCGGGCAGCAAACGACAGAGAGAGCACGTGTGTGTGAGAGCGAAGGGGAGAGAGATAGGCGTCGACACACGGAAAAGCATTACTCACGTTGACGAGTTTGGTCGTGGAGCGGCTGCTTGCCTCCAATTCGGACCAAATATCGCTGGTTTCAGAGCAGGATAATAACAGTATTCCCTTCGTCCCCCTTGCCCAAAAAGCGGAGATAGAAGCTGTTTAGATGGGAGCTGTGTCCGGCTGCTTGTAGAGATAGACCGAAGAGAGAAGAGTTGTCCTCGGAGTTTGTGGGAACAGGATGCTAGCGACTATAGCACAGAAATCCAACGCCGAAGTGGAGAAATGGTCCGTGTGCCTGCTTGGTGGGAGGCTGGGAGGACGGAAGGGGTGATGGATGGATAAATAGAGAGGAGGAGAGATGCAAGAAGCAGAAACATAAGCAGCAGCTGAGGAGGTAAGAAGGGAGCAGAGGTGACGGAGATCGACCCGAGCTGCCGTACGGACCCCCCTCCCCTCCCGGACGGACACATCTCCCATTCATAAAAGCGTGCGCGGGAGACTGGCGGAGGCTGGGACGTGGTGATGGATCTGTTTGATGTCACAGACAGGTTTGAAATAGGATCGTGATTGAAACGGGGAAGTAATGTACCCTGATGCTGCTGTCAAAGGCTATCAGAACACTGTCAATGTGAACAGCTAGGTGGCATGGTGGCTGAGTGGTTAGCGCTTCTCAGCAAGAAGGTCCTTGGTTCGAATCCCAGCCGGAGCAGAGCCTTTCTCCTTTTCTCCTGTCATGAAGTATTCACTGCTGGTTATCTCTGTGTATTTTGGGTGCTCTACTGTCCTGTATGACGCTAAACAGTTACAAACATATTATTTATTTCATTCTAAAGATCAAACCTAAAAGGTAATTGGATAAATTGAGAAAATATAATCATCTCTATATGTCTAAACACACACACACAAAGCTCTTTGGATTGTTAATGACTCTTCTGGCCACCCTGGGAAAGCCATGTTCCAGCTTCTTCCCTCTGGCAGAAGATATCGCTCTCTGAGATGCAGGACATCTCGTTACGCTAACAGTTTTTATCCACAAGCTGTTATCAGTGTGAACAGAGCACTTTAATGATTTGCACTTGTTTTGAAACTGTTTTAGTCGATCGATTTCACAGTGACATTTGTTTACTGTTTTATTTGTTTTATTTTTGTCTTTTAATGTTGTTTTATGTCTGTATTTGTCTGTGCACACTGGAGACTTTTCGCTAATGTATTCCAATGTGGTTTTTTTACTGCAAATGGCAAATAAACTGAATCTGACACACACACACACACACACACACACACACACACACACACACACACACACACACACACACACACACACACACACACACACACACACACACACAAACACCAGTCACAGTTTTACAATACATGTTAAACTACCATCAGTCCAATACTATCTACTATCTAGGTGCCTCTCTGTGTCTGGTCTCTCTCGGGTCTCTCTCTTTTGCCTCTGTCTCTGGTCTCTCTCTTATCTCTCTCTCTCTGGTCGCTCTCCCCCCTTGCCTCTGT